TATTTCACTAATTTGATCACAAATTCGGTTTAATTTCATGGCGTTTCTGCTTGTAGACAGTCTACCACACAACAATAGCAGATTTCATATTGCGATTAAGGCCTTGAAGCTTCTGCTTATATTAGCAGTCCTTATTTCGAGTCTGCTAATGGTAAAAGGCTCCTTGATGCCTTATTCGTGTGAAATAGTTCTGTCGAGTCTAGTGGGATTTTGGAAGTCCTGCAAATGCTTCTTGTCTTCTTCTCTCTACATATGCATAATCATCAACTTCATGGTTTTGTTGATAGCAGCTTCTTCCAGTCTACAACGACACGAAACTGATAATCATGATGGTATTGTTGATGTTGATGAGGATGTGAATATCGATAAATCTCCCTTGGTATCACCGCTGCCGCTGCCGCCGCCACCACCCCCACCACAGATTATGAACGAAAACCCGCCTCGGGATGTGAGTGAAGTAGTAGCATCACAACCAACAACAAAAACAAAGAAGACTTTATACCAAGGTGATCATAGTCCTCCACAAATTTGGCAAGATGTTATAGATCAAATTTGTGTTGATAAAAGAGGTAAGGAGTCTAATGAAGCTTTAGTAGAAACAATAGAAAGAGCCACGGAAGAAGAGAAAGAGGTACGATTAGAAAATAATGAAGAAGATGATACTATGGAGGCAACATGGAGGGCAATTACAGGTGGAGGAAAAGAGAAGACTACGAAGAAGCAACTGGAAAAGAGAGAGACGTGGAACGTGGCACCACCAATGAGGGCAGTGGCAGTGCAAAGCCACGACTTGGAGGAATTGTACCAATCAATTCCAGCATCATGGAAGGAGCTAAGGAAATCAGAGACATTTAACGACGCAGTTTCACTAAGGCAAAGAGGTGGCTTAAGGAGAGATCCTTCAATGAGTGTGGATTATTTCAACAACCAAGTTGAGGCCTTTATCAAGAAGTTCAATGAGAGTATACGGTTACAAAGGCAAGAATCTGATCAGCGATTCATAGATATGATCAACGGAGGATTGTAGTGCGTGTTTGGCACCTATGGATAGCTACCACGAGTATAATAATAAACAAGATTTTAGCTTCTCATTGTTCGTTTGAAGTATTATCTAATCCTACGTACCAAACATGCATATAACCGCCTAATACTGTCCAGCATCTCATAAATTTTGCTGTTCCTTTCATCAGGCGACAGTATCTACATTTTTTTTAAACTCCCTGTACATTGTGTATGCATTTCAATCATCAAGATTGCAGAATCTTTTTATATTGTACTACATATAATTGATGGTTGACAACGCTTTTTATTTATATAAGATAATTTCTGAATGTATTGATATTTTGGCTCCCTTTATTATTCAAGTAGGTATTCTACTGAACTAAACATCTTCATAAGTACCCACCAAGCAACATAATTTCATTCTGGGAGAACGACATTTCAACAAAAGCATCCACGGCCATTAGAGTAGAAGATGATCGAGTTTTTTTTTCCAGGCTTAGTTTAATACTTAGTAGAATATCATTTTGCTGGTATAGTAGTATCAAATTAGGGAGAATGCTGTCCTTTTTGCTTATTATCTTTGTTGTGTACTAATGGCATGTTTGGTAAACATAGTGAAAAACACTACTCGATGTTGTATTATGGTCTATTGTATCATTAAGTCATGTCTAATGCTGCATATCAAATACATTCCAAATGACTTCTGGATGTTGTATTTAGTCTACTGTAGTGTCTGCTCCTGTCTAACATGTCTAACACATCATACTGAACATATTCCAAATGATTTTAGTACGTTGTATTTGGTCTATTGTACAATTCAATTATGTCTAATGCTGCATATTGAAGATATTCCTATTGATTCATGGATTGCTTGATTGATCAAAGAGCTTTATGACATGGATTCTTTGATATGACATAATAAATGTGAATGAAGCTCCAACCAACCTTTAAAAAATACATCCTCAGCTGTATGGGACAAACTAGAGAAGAAGGTAAATAATTTAGCACGGTGAATGCTGCATATTGAAGATATTCCTATTGGTTCGTGGATTGATTGATTGATTAAAGAGCTTTATGATATGGATTCTTGATATGACATAATAAATGTGAATGAAGCTCCAACCAACCTTTAAAAAATACATCCTCAGCTATGTGGGACAAACTAGAGAAGAAGGTAAATAATTGAGCACTGTCTTAAAAATTTAAGCGAACCATCTTCTAGGCCAAGTTATGCTGACCGAAATATGATTTTTTTTTTCTCAACCATTATAAAAAATGTTAAGAATTATGTATCGAACCGATACCATCTTATTAGTAAATAAAGAAACAAGAATATTATGATAATATGAAAATCAAACTTGAACACAAGATTTACGTGGTAAAATTATACGACGGGTAGAAGAGGAGAATTTATTAATAATCATTAATGGAAGATTACAAATTATTATATAGAATGTAAGAATTTTTACAATATGTGTTGTACAATGAAGGGTAAAACCAATAATGTAATATTTGGGATGAAATAGGAATAGAAAACTGAAAAAAATATGGAATTTAAAAATTGCTCGAATATCACAGCCACTCGAGTGATGTCTGTTAGGTTATGATTATGTTATTGACGAGATTTAGTTCTGATATCAAATTTGATGTAAGATCAGTTGAAGTATTCCAGTAGGGACCTAAAGTTACATAAAAGAGCAAAAGAAGAAGAGAAGACGCAGCAACAGCAGAAGAAGAAGAAGAAGAAAGGGAATGGGGAGAAAACGTATGCAATAAGCATGTTCATTTCATTCGAAAGAAGAAGAAGAAAGGGAATGGGCAGAAAAACGTATGCAATAAGCATAGTCATTTCATTCAATCATCCACTGAGTTTTCAAGTTTACTTAGAACACATTTATAGAGGAAATAAGCAAACCTAGTGAGAAAAGGGTTTGGCCAAACCCATTATACAAGCTCAATTAAAATTGATAAAGCATAAACAAAGATAGCCCAAAAGTAGGAGCCCAAAGTATGTGATATCCTCATCAGTTTTGTATGTTCTAAAGTCATTGGAAATGGTCCCAAAAACTGATTTTTCACTGAAATTGGCCAAATTGATGGCCTCAATTTGATGCACAAAGTTGCAACCTCGAGCACATGTGGTTCTAGTTCGTGATTAGGTGCGACTGAGGTGTCCGATGACATGGGTGATATTCTAGTGTGGTGATTCTCGACAGTGGATGAGTACTGTGTTATTTGGGTCCGTTTAGCAAGATTATCATTGCCCATTTTAGAATGTTTGGCCTATATGAGAGGCTGAGACTCCAATCAAAGTTGAGGGGATGTTGGGGAGAATTTTTTGTCAATTGTGATGGGTGGGTCCGACGGCTTTGATGGAGACAACGCTATTAGAACTTTTTTTATTTTCGGATTGATAAGGATTTTTGGGCTTAGTGCATTGCGGCAGGTTGGTGGTGGTGAGTTGGAAGTGCAGATGGAGGTAGATTGTGGTGTAAAACTTTGCGCGTAGAGATGCAAAGAGGTGCAAGTGGTGGTGTGGGCGCGGTGGATGTTGTGGGTGTGTGGTTGTGAGTTGTGCATTTAAGGTGGTATGACATTTGGGTGGTGCAAGTAATGGTGGTGGGGTGACATGGGAAATATGAAGGATAATATTGAACAGTTTATTTGGTAATTGCGATCAGTTAATTCGATATACTATGACTAATAAATAAGTTATGATCAATCAATTTGATAATTGTCACCGATTTACAAGTCGTGACCTATAAGAATTGTGATTTTTTACTAAATTTGTGATATTGACCCATATTTTGTGTCATTTTAATTGTGATTTGTGATAATTATGTAATTGTCACAATAAATTATATGTTGTTGTAACATTAACTTATTTGATTAATAAATGAACAAAAAAAATTATTAGATGGTCACAAATGTGACCTTGTGACCATCAGGTTTTTGAAATAATTCCACAATTTTCAAATTTGAATATTGAATCTATGGTAATTTAATTAAGCTATTTGTACATTAAGTTTGACACCATTGTCGACAAACGGGTGACATGGCAAGATTGTGATGATTGGATTAAATGTGTGAGATGTGAAAGATGGTTTGAAATTGTGCAAGCGTAAATTCGGTAAGCTAGGGTATAAACCAGAATATACATGTAGCAAGATTGATGGTGATTATGTATTTTTCCCCGTCCAGATTGCTTTACATGACATGCAAGGCCATTCTTTCCAAAATTAATTTCTAGGCCCAAATCCAATGAAGCCCAACGGTCTGGCCCATAAGTTTACAAGATTTTCTTTTCAATTCACAACATCCAGCCCATGGTATTGCATCTACCCAACTTGCAAAGCTTCCTCCTGAAAAATCAAAATCTTCTTTCAAACTTAGAGAATCCATGCGAGTTATTCCTTCCTTAATCCTTACCCAACCCGGATTTCTTTCTTCTAAGCCATGATTTCGTTACACCATTGTAGATTGGCTCGAATTATTTTCTAAGTACTTCCCATAAGGTATAAGTTTAGTTATAATTACGTTTTCTAGCAATTGGATTGTGTTATATGGTGATTTGAACGATTGGGTAAGCAAAGTTGAACATTTTTTTATGCTTATTAGTAGTACCAAGTTTAGTTGAAGTACATTAAAATTAATTTCAAATGTCACGGGCTTTTTGCCAAATATCCTTACGATGGACACATTTGAAATGATCACTTGACGTAAAGTTAAAAAATAATGATATATATTTCTACACTACAACAAAAATAGTCATTTGCAACATTAAAAAGGCAACATTTGTCAAAAGGGTCTTTTGACAATATTTTAGTAAGTGAATGTTGCCATTGATATTAATAAATGAGTTTTTGGCAACGTTTTCTAGAAAAATGTTGCGATAGACACCTTTAGCAACATTTATTGAGTGTTGCGAAAGGTTTTACCTTTAGCAACGTTTATCAAACCTGGCAAAAGGTGAGACTTTTCGCAACGTTGCAAAAGGTGAGCCTTCCGCAACGTTTGATAAACGTTGCTAAAAGTCTTACATTTCGCAACGTTTGATAAACGTTGCTAAAAGTTTTGTACATTTTTCCCAAATTAAATTATATACGGGTACAAATGATAGAAATAAAAAATAACCCAAACCCTAGCACTCCTTCCATTCCTTCATCTCCCGCCCTTGATGCCAATCCGGCATGCATCTACTGTGAGGAACTTGGAATTTACACTGCATAATCCCATTTCCTCCTCCTACAAAATCCTCTACTGTAAGGAACTTGGAATTTGATACCCCTTTTTCAAAAACCCTCCAACCTGCGTTTCCACTGCATGCGGTTTCTATTCAGCCTCATAATTCAATTCAACCTCATAGTTCGATTTAGCTTCCGCGATTCAACTTGGTCCGTCCTTGCCGCTGTCAGCCACGCTTGCCACTGCCACTCCGCCCATCACCCACTGCTAGTCCAAACAGGGGCGGACCCACATGGGGTCATGTGGGGTCAAATGACCCCACAGTTTTTTTTTTTAACCTAACACTTAGCCCATTTGAAACCCCTCCAACCCAGTAGCCCATTTGCTCAGGCCCAAACCCAATTTGTTATTTAGATAATTAAAACCAATTCCCAAACCCTATAAGGCTATACATGTGCACACGATTTCTGATTTTCTTCCAAACAGAATTCGCCCGAGTCCCTGACCAAAACCGTTTACCGTCGACGGAGTCTGCCATCCGCCGAAGCCTGTCGTGTTCTTCTTCAATCAGTCCACCATCTTCCGAAGTCCGCCATTCTCCCTTATAGGTGTGTTATCAATTCTCTATACCAATTTCATCCAATTGTTTTGACAGCAAATCTGCAAATGGTTTATGGATAGCAACCTTGCTATTTATCAAGCACAATTGCAAATGAAAATGCTGATTTATCAACCCTAATCTGTGACTGTGACTTTTTTTTTTTATTTGAAATCCTAGAGGATTGCAAATGAAAATGCTGACAAGTACTGTCTTTGTACTTATCCAGCCGATCCCAAATT